GCTAAAACAAGAGAGAGAAAGAAAGAGAAATCCGGCAATTTTAATTAAAATTTTAACAAAATCGGCATAGCTGAGATATAAACCATTCTAAATTTCTTTAGTCGAGATTCCAACCGAAATATTTTAAATCTGTGCTAAATTAGTAAAAAATGGTTCGAATCTCGGCTAAAACAAGAGAGAGAAAGAAAGAGAAATCCGGCAATTTTAATTAAAATTTTAACAAAATCGGCATAGCTGAGATATAAACCATTCTAAATTTCTTTAGTCGAGATTCCAACCGAAATATTTTAAATCTGTGCTAAATTAGTAAAAAATGGTTCGAATCTCGGCTAAAACAAGAGAGAGAAAGAAAGAGAAATCCGGCAATTTTAATTAAAATTTTAACAAAATCGGCATAGCTGAGACACGAACCATTCTAAATTTCTTTAGCCGAGATTCCAACCGAAATATTTCAAACATGTGCTAAATTAGTCAAAAATGGTTCGAATCTCGGCTAAACCTAGAAATTATTTGTATAAATAATTTTTTCAACTTTTTACATATTTTGTTTAAACATTTTATTATTTATACAAATAATTTTACACATTTCATTTCATATTCATAATCAGCCAGCCAAAAACGCCTATATCTTGTATTCAATTTTATTTCTTATGCATTTTTTATGTACTTGTTGATGATAGGAGTGAGAACATTAAAAAGCTAAACTGTCCACTTTGAAACTTTGAAACTCAAAGTGGGCCAAAATGAAAAAAATATGACCTAAATATTTTTTTCACTTCTACATTTGTACCAAATTAGAAAGAAATCGGAGTGTACCTTTTAGGTAGGTTTACTTATAAGTTACATACGAATTATATTCATCACATATAAGTGATCAGATTTTTTAAAATTGATTTTACGGCTAATAATAAGATGACATGCTGCGAAAGAAATACTTAAAAATTTATTTGTCGAATATATCAAATTTATTTGTGAAAAATATATAAACTTCTATGAAATCAAGTTTACTACAAGTAAAACGATAAGTTTCTATGAAATAAAGTTTAGTTGTGTAAAATAAACTTTTATATTCCACAAATAAATTTTCAAATATTTTTTCTCAATGCACGAGATAAAAAATATATGTCGAATTGAGGCAAAAGTACCAACATGTTTGAACACTGGTTATTTCTAACTCTGGACATTTTTATTGATTTGATTTTTATATATTTAAACTCTTTCAACAATATAGAATATATGTACATATATTCAACATATGTATTTTTTATATCAAAAATTTAAACATTCGTATTTAAGGACCAAAAGAATCTCCAGAGTTAGGTGTTGGTATTATTGGGACGTCCAAGTACTTTCCTTTGGTACTTTCACCTCTGATATGTTTACCGTATCTTCAAGAACTCAATTATCAGTCAAGTGTTACCATAAGCAATGGTAATTTGTGCAATCAGTGGTAATCAACGTGGCAGTCAACGTGTTAATAAGTTCAAAAGCTGTCCTCCGAAGACGAATCTTTAGCGGGATCGATCGCTCAAAAAAATGACAGCTCAGATAGAATTCTAAATGTCACGGTTAAATTTATTTCTGTTTTTGTATCAGTTAGAAAATTATCTGTGGTAGAATTTACAACAGCAGCTGTAATTTTAGCAATAATTGCAAGCAGATTTAGGTGAATACAAAAATCATACATTTATTTGTCTCTCGTCGCTTGTCTTTATTATCGCAATCGTTTTTTATAAGAAGTGTGACTGGCTTTAATTTGGATGAGTTCAGTTTACTTTTCTTCTTTTATAAAATGATAATTTTCAACAAATAATATATTTTCATGATAATAGTCTTAAAATATACTCATTAAAAATTTTAAAAAAGCTCATTATTGTGTACTTAGAGAGAAGAAGAATTTGTTCTCTTTACAGTATTATAAAACTGTATCAAAGAAAAAATTGATTCAAGTCTAAATGACCAAATTGAATTTTCGTTTCCTTATCTTTTAATTTAATATCTCGTTCAAAAATGCTAAATTCAGAATGTACTTCAAATAAATTTGATGGATAAACTTGTGATAGATTCGTGAATATAGTATAAACTTATGAAACAAGTAACATTTATTTGAATGCAATATGTATTTTTTTATGTAATTCATTATTACTAATGTGAAATCATTTTGACTTAAATAAACTTTTAATTGTTTCTTTACAAAGGAAAAATAAAGTAATAACTTCTTAACGTTCTGGATGTCACAGAGAGACTTTTTTGCTAAATTTTACAAAGTTCAGATATAAATTCCGTCTCTGTCATCTGTATTGATTACGCACAAGACATACGCGATATCGCAATGTCTGCTAGTCATTTATTCATCCTCCATCCAGCTAATTTCTCGTATCCAAAAAATTTTCGCTGTGTGACCGCAAGAGCATTTCTTTGAGTGATTCGTTCGATTAATCCGCGAGATATCCACTAGACAACGAGTGTGCGCATCATTTCCCTTTCTTATCCCGGGTATTTTCTACGCTTTCATGCATTCGCCACTTTTTCCACTGTCATCGGAACTTTCTGAGAGAGCAGCATCCGAGACTCGGATCTCGGAGACTCGAATATCGATCAACGTATATGATTCATGGACAACTCGAGAGAAAGAATTGGGTGAAGAGACGCCGACGCGAATTAGAGAAGAAACTTCGTTGGCGCGTATCTCGCCTACTGAAATTCATTCGAAAGTGGTCGGGCCGCTTTCTCGGTGGGAGAATCGCCTGTCAAATTTTACTCTTCGCGACGAGCGCCGATTTGAATATCGGAGGCGGCAGCTGTTTGACGACATGCTTTAGCACTCACCGACATCGTGCTCTCCGCGATACGCCTGTGCCAACAAAAGGGTTACATAATCCATCACATACCACCGAACCGACACGAGCGTGTGCGACGCGGCACGCACGAGAGAGAAAGTGTGCGTGTTGCCACGGCGGCGGACACGCCGATCGATTCGCCAAACGATGGCTGGTTACACGACATTTTCCCGAAAACTAGATAGAAAAATGTTCAACAAAAACACATTTTAATTTCTGCGGATCAGTGACAGTTTGTTATTTGACACATACACACGCATATGTCAAAACGACTCCGCAAAATTCATGGACTTGTTACTTACAAGTGTCACTAATTCGTAGAAATTAAAATTGTTGCCTAAAGGTTTTTGTTGGTATTTTCCCATCTAATTATCGGGAAAATATCGTGTAACCAGATGGTTCCATTAAAGAAAAAAATAGTCTCGCGATCACACAGCGAGAATTATTTAGAGGCAATTCTGGAGATGCACGAGGAAACAGCTGAGACAAATAAATGACTGGTGAATATACACGATATCACATTGGCTTCGTATTTAATCAATAGAGATGACAGAGGCAGCACTTCTACTTGTGAAGTTCAGCAGGAGAAAGTCTCTTTCCACATACAGATTAAAAGCCAGTCGCACTTCCTATCAAATTTGACTGTGGCAGACAAAAAAGACCAGCGAATGTATAATCCCATCTAAATTTGCTAGCACACGCAAAAAAAATTTCAGTTGGTGCAACCAAATAGGAGCCAACTGGAAATTAGATAATAGGAACCAACTTAGAAAACAGAAATCAAACTTAGAAAATAGGAACTAACTGAAATGATCAGAAGCGATATCTCTGTTGTGAAAACTAATATTTCTGTTGTCACAACCGAAAATATTCGTCTGAACATTCAACGATATTAGAACTCGGTTGAGACAACTAAGAACAATTGACTATACAGAAGCCTCATAAAGGAATTTTTCTGTTCCTACAGCCGAATTTTCGTCTGATCCCTGAGCAACCGGAAATTCGGTTACAATAGAATTGTTTTTTCCATGCAGATATCGCTAGAATTCTGCTGTAAATTCCACATATCACGCAATAGGTAGAAGAAACAATAATAAAAATTTTAACTTTTAATTTGAATCTTTGAATTTCACCTGGACTAGCGGAATATTTTTCTGAGCGTGTCAATCGCGCATTCTCGGACAATAATTATCCGTTCGTCAGGTACGAGAATAATCCGCCGGTGAATTCTTTCGGCACGATCGGCACTGAGAAGAAAGTGTTCGGCGTTCGCGGCTATGATTACATAGTGAAATAATTACCGGGATAACCGCTTCTGTTGTAATCGCCACTATAGTTACGCTAACTAATTATATGCTCGTGATAATAAGTTCGAATGTGTATCACTATGCGTGTTACTTTTCTGCTGGAGTAATAACAAATAATATTGACACCGGAATTGGCTATAATTTTAGTGAAATCAATAGTTTCTTTCTTCTCTCAGTGCGATTGCCGAACAATCACGAGACAGAGTATCGCCTCGCACTTCCTCTTTACGAAATGCAGTCGTTATTATGTTAGCTCATCTAATTACTCACACGAGCCGCGTAACGCAAATGAATTTAGAATGATTATATCTAAACGAGTGAAATATGTGATATATTAGAGAGAAATACGCATAAACGTGTAAACATTGGTCACGTAATGTGACATCACGTTGCATTTGGTTTATTTATCTCGCGCTTTGTAAGAAATCAAGCGAAAACTGCAGGAAGAAAACACAAAAATTGGATCATTCGAGAAGAGTACTAAACGACGATCGTCGTGTTTGTTCAAGGCGAATCTTATGGGCGTACCACACTGAGAAAAAAAATGTTGGATCTAACTAAAATTGTAGTTATCTTTGGCAACAACTTTGGTTGTTCGATGGTTCTGTACTATGAAAATAATAGTAATAACATGTACATAAGGTTATTATCACAGCAACATTGTAGTAGAATTCAATAAAAAAATTTAAAATAAATTAAAAAATTTAATAAAAAAATTTCCTTGACGCCATAATTTATAGTAATCAGTTCCTTATGTAAGTACAGTTACAAGTACCAAAAATTTTTTCCTCAGAGTGTAGTGAAGCGAATAAAAAAAAATAATAAATATAACATTTTTCTTTTGTTTACTCACCACCAGAAATGCCAACGCGACCACCCTCCAGTCCATGGCTAAAATAAAAGAGAAAGTGTTATTAATAACTGGGTCGAACTCCCATGAATACGATCGTCCGCGCAAACATCGTTCGCCGTGCGAGAGGCGGCAGATTCGAAAATTCGCCGCTCCTCGCTCACATTCACATGCTCGTCCAACCTATTATATCTCGCGATATTGTACAAACTCTGACAATAACTCGAGGGCAACTCCTTAAAGGAATGCGGTTTCATTATTTTTGCATTGTTCTTTTGTTTGGTTGCATAGAATTGCAAATACTCTTACACAATGAAAGCACAAATGTATGGACATTTGTACTTCCATTCTTCCACGAAGCTGCATTATGTCGGTGCCCATATTGAGAGAGAAAATAAGAAATATTAAATATTTATTAGGTAAATATTGATGACATACTCTCTTAAAGTGAATCAGTGAAACATCATTGAAAGCAGTAAATATACACTGATTTGCAGCTATAAGTGCAGCAATGAAACTGCTCACGAGGAACATTCGCGAAGTGTGTCTCCGATTTCGATGAAACTTGGCACATTTATAAAATAAGAGGCCAAAAATAAGAGACCCATATTTTTTTATCGGTTCAGGTTTAAGGGATGAAACTACCCCTCAAAGTTTCATGCCCTTTTTGCTATCTCTGTAACTATAGGAGATAGAAAAAAAATTTTTAGTCCATTTTATTTTTCATAAAAAAAATTATTTTATTTTTTATAGAAAAATAACTTTTGTCTAAAAAGTTTTTTTTCTATCTCCAATAGTTAGAGATAGTAAAAAGAGTATGAAACTTTGAGGGGTAGTTTCATCTCTTAAACCTGCGCCATTGCCGATAAAATAACATATGGGTCTCTTATTTTTGGCCACTCTATAAATATGCCAAGTTTCATCAAAATCGAAAACACTTCGCGAATATCAGTGCTAGATTTACACAGAAAAAACGATATAGTTACCAAATGCATAATTATGGTTGTCACACCCACAATAAATACACTGAGAGAAAAAAATAATTGGAACAACTATAATCTCACTATATTTTATAGTTTATTTTGGTCTCAAACATATATTTATAGTTCATCTAAACATGAAGATATAGCAGAATGAACACAGATTTACAGTCACCATTTTATTACTCTATGTGTATAGTAAAGCACACTTTGGGAATATAGTTACATGTACCTATATTTGCCAAATATTCCAATTGTATTGACTACATAAAATAGTTAATTTCTCTTACCATTCAATATTTGTTACCTTACTATACTTTTTATTTCAAATAATTATAATTCTTGGTAAAAGAATTCTTGGTTTTACATGGGTCAATTATACTATGCTTATATTGTAAATATTACAAACATTATGGTGACATTTACTATAAAAATAATATTCCTAACTATAATCTTTTTACTATGCCATTATAGTTCCAAATATCATACATTTTTCTCTCAGTGGAGTAATATTTGGAGCAACTATGTCTATAGTTGTAACACCCATATTGATATGGTCGTGCTACTGTAGTTGAGACTGTGCAAGTCTACATCACTGTGCAAGTGCCAACATTGGCGCGGTAGTGTGACAACAATTCACGTTGTAGCACGAACCATGACATGGTTGTCACAACCACACGGGTTCAGCTACGTAGGAATAGTCGGGACAACTATATACGCTCGGTACAATAAATATAGCGAATGTTAAGACACAAAACAATATAGCCCCAACACTTCGTACGATAATATTGTAATTTTAGTTTTCTCAACGTCAGTCGTTCTTTCTATATATAACTGATATCAGTGACTATTCACTGATTCACTTTAAGAGAGTTGTTTAATCAGAGATAATTTAATTTGAGATTTGTTTAATCGATTGCAAGTGTTACTTTATGGATATATATTTTTATTTTAACGTATTTCGTAAGAATTTTTAGCATGCATTTTCTCGTTTCTGACGAGATAGACAATGGTGAGGGGCCAGAAGCCTCAATAGCTAATAGAAAAAGAGAGTTTATAGTTTTTATTAGTGTTTATAGGAATTATTTGTACTACACTGATACTCCAAAAATACTTGAAAAATAATAAATATTCATTCAGTACTAATAAATCTATTTTAGATTTTTTCCTCATACATTGAGAGGTTCAGGTTTTCTTAATGCAATTCCGAAGCATTCTTTTTCCTATCAATCTGTCTCTCTCTCCCTCTTTCTTTCATTTTCTCTGCCTACCAACTGACCTTGTACTCGTTTTCAGTTCTATCCCGCCCGTCGTATTCGTTATCGTAGATCTTATCCAATTCGCAAAAGAGCATCCTAACCCTCTCGTCCCGCCTCCTATAAATCAGCGCGGAACACGAAGAAGAAGAAGAAGAAGAAGAAGGCTCGACGATTCACTCCTGGGGTTCGATTCTGCGAATCGGTATCCGGCGTGCAGAAGAAAAAAAACGACAAGCACGGTGCTTCCTCGAGCCATGACGTCATCGTGGGGCGAGGGTTAAGGCCGACCTCGGCGGAGGAGGCAGACGGTGGACGTTTTCAGGTGGGTTAGTAGCCGGGGCCCGTTCGCGTTCGGGTGCAGGCTCGCAGCCGAGAAAGCGACACGCTGCTTCGCGAAGGCGGTGGTGGCAGTGCACGATGCAACGTTCACTTTTTAGAGTACCGCGATATAGGCGGCGACGGTGTTGGTGCGCGATCGACCTCGACCACCGCTGGACCCACCCACCACCACTATCATATGATCGATATTCGTGCACTAAGAGAAAAAAATAGTTGGAATAACTATAATCTCACTATATTTTATAGTTCGTTTTGGCCTCAAACATATATTTATAGTTCATCTAAACATGAAGTTATAGTAGAATGAACACAGATTTATAATCACCATCTTATTACTCTATATACAGTCTCACATTCTCCTCCGGGCATTTTGTGGGGACGTAGAACAGGTTAAGGTGAACATAAAAGTCCTGTACCGTTTTGCGATATTCGCAATAATTATTGAGATATTAATTGTAGAAAACTTGTAAATGATCATGCAGAATATGGTAAATGAGTTATAGTAACGACGACTGCCGTCGTGTACTTATACTTTAGGTCAAATTGAACAAAAAAGTCCTCTACCATTTTCCAAATAATCACATAGATTTTTAGTTATTAATTAAAGAAGATTATTGCACGATTTTGCGTGATCATTTTCTTTAATTAATAATTAAAAATCTGTGATTATTTGCAAAATGGTAGAAGACTTTTTTGTTCAATTTGACCTAAAGTATAAATACACGACGGCAGTCGTTGCTATTATAACTCATTTACCACATCCTGCATGATCATCCATAAATTTTCTACAATTAATATCTCGATAATTATTGCGAATATCGCAAAACGATATAGGACTTTTGTGTTCACCTCAACCTGTTCTACGTCCCCACAAAATGCCCGAAGCAGAGTTGAGACACCCTGTATATGGTAAAGCATCTTTTGGGAATATAGTTACATGTACCTATATTTGCCAAATATTCCAATTGTATTGACTATATAAAATAGTTAATTTCTCTTACCATTCAATATTTGCTACCTTACTATATTTTTTATTTTAAATGATTATTTCAATTCTTGGTAAAAGTTTTACCTGGGTCAGTTATACTATGCTTATATTCTAAATATTACAAACATTATGCTGAAATTTACTATAAAAATTATCTTCCTAACTATAATCTTTTACTATGCCATTATAATTCCAAATATCATACATTTTTCTCTCAGTGTGGTGGACGCGGTTATGAGCGTTACGCCGCGGCCGCCATTTTTGCGCACCCTTCCCGACGTACGACTGGCGCCACACCGATCTATCGCGATCTCATCCATCGTTATTCACGAGATCGCTGGGATCGCCTAGGTCTCGCGGCAGCTTCCACCTTCCTCCTCACGGTGGGTCGCGTCAGGTTCGCGCCGTGGATACCACCAGCGATCGCGGCCAGGGACAGGTCCCTCTCGTTTTACACACGTATGCAATTACGGATAAAGAAATATTTTGTGATAACCGCACGATGCAATATATTTGTTATTATTAACAAAATATTTAAAAATGAATAAAACATTTACGTATTATACAGGGTGTCCCGTATCACCTTCACAATCTCTCGTGAGGACGTAGAGCGGATTGAGATGAACACAAAAGTCCTATACCATTTTGTGATATTCGCAATAATAGTCGAGATATTAATTAAAAAAGATTGGTGAATGATAACGCACGATATGATAGATGAGCTGCAATTGCGCCGTCTGTACTTGTACATTAAGTATACAACTACCGTTGTATACTTGTACATTAAGTCAAACTGAACAAAAAAGTCCTCTACCATTTTGCAAATGACAACATATATTTTTAGATATTAATCAAAGAAAATTGTTACATGCACTGAGAGAAAAATGGATGATATTTGGAACTATAATGGCATAGTAAAAATATTATAGTTAGGAATATAATTTTTATAGTAAATGTTACCATAATATTTGTAATATTTACAATATAAGTGTAGTATAATTGTAAAATTTGACCCTTGTAAAATTTTTACCAAGAATTATAATTAAAAAATATGGTAAGGTGGCAAATATTGAATGATAAGAAAAATTAACTATTTTATATAGTCAATACAATTGGAATATTTGGCAAATATAGGTACATGTAACTATATTTCCAAAAGGTGCTTTACCATATATATAGAGTAATAAGATGGTGACTATAAATCTGTGCTCATTCTACTATATCTTCATGTTTAGATGAACTATAAATATATGTTTGAGGCCAAAACGAACTATAAAATATAGTGAGATTATAATTATTCCAACTATTTTTTCTCTCAGTGTGATTATGTACCATAATGCACAAATTTTCTTTAATTAATATCTAAAAATCTATGTTGTTATTTGCAAAATGGTAGAGGACTTTTTTATTCAGTTTGACTTAATGTACAAGTATACAACGGCAGACGGTGCAATTGCAGCTCATCTACCATATCGCGCATTATCATTCACCAATCTTTTTTAATTAATATCTCGACTATTATTGCGAATATCGCAGACTTTCTTGCTCACCTCAACCCGTTCTACGTTCTCACCAAGGGTCATCATGGAGGTTCGGGACACCCTGTATATCTTCATTTTTATGTAAATTACTCCCCCTTGGAACAGCGCCGGCATAAACTTCTTTAAGGCTCCTGGCCCCTCGCATTGTCTATCTCTTTTTGACGGCGCCAGAAGCTAGAAAATGCATGCTAAAAATTTTTACGAAATACATTGAAATAAAAAGATATATCTATAAAGTGACACTTGCAATCGATTAAATAAATCTGTAAAATATTTCTCTTTTGCTTTAATAATCGATAATTTGTCGTAAATTAACCTGAATAGAAATAGGTGAGTAGATTAAGAAGATGAATTGTATCTCACGTTAATTTACGACAAATTATTGATTGTTAGAGCGAAAGGGGAGTACACGGAATATCTTACAAATTTGTTTAATCAATTGCAAGTGTTACTTTATGGATATATATTTTTATTTCAACGTATTTCGCAAGAATTTTTAGCATGCATTTTCTCGTTTCTGACAAGACAGACAATGGCGAAGAGCCAGGAGCCTTAGTAGCTAATAGAAAAAGAGAGTTTATAGTTTTTATTAGTGTTTATAGGAATTATTTGTACTTCACTAAAAAAATATTTGAAAAATAATAAATATTCATTCAGTACTAATATTTACTTAAATCTAAATTCTTTTGTTTAAATAAAATAAACAATTTTTGTCATAAAAAGTAACGGTATTTTAGGAAAATATATTTTCCCACTTTAAACATTTTTTTTCTCAATGTAAAAATATGTATATTAGCACAAGTAAACTAATATATTTATCGAATAAATATTTCTTATTTTTACATATTTTTTCTCTGAGTGCAAGCGAAAATCTATATATAGTAACCGTCACTCTACCTGTTCGGTATTCTTACGCAAATCTAACTCTAAATATTAAAGTATATGAAAATTAAAAAATAACTAAATAATTGACTTGAATATTTAGTATAAAGTAAAAAAAAATAATTAGACTTGAATATAAAAGTAATTAAAAAATCTCTATACGCGCGCGCGCCTTAATATTTAATAAAATCCGAGCAAGAGTGCCGACTACTGAACGTTTTCCTTGACTTATATACAAGGGAGATCGGGTATTTCGAACGTGTAATTATTTTGATGCCGAAAACACCTATGCCAGAGGTGATTTAGGGTTTCGGCTGATATGCAGTCGAGCCATGTCGAGTAGAAAAATTCAAGAGTAAGATCAAACTCGGCAAAGCATGCTCGGCAAAGCGATCAAATATGTATATTTTCCTAAAACACCGTTATTTCTTATGAAAAAAATTGTTTATTCTATTTAAACAAAAATATCTCGGACATCCTCTCACTTCTTCTACATGCGAGCGTTAAAATTTCCTGCGATTTCGACGCCCGCATGTGGAAACGTGGAGTGCGAGAAAACTCGCGGTGACTTTAACGCCTAGCATTCCGCACTGAGGGAAAAATTATCTTAAAATCAACAAATATTTTTTTTTATGAATGCTATTAATATATTTATTTAAATATAAATTCTCTTTATTTAAATCAAATGTTGTTTACCTGATTTAAGTAAACAATATTTGGTTTAAATAAAGAGAATTTAGATTTAAATAAATCTATGCTAATGGCACCCATCAAAGAAATATTTATTGATTTTAAGGTAATTTTCCCCTCAATGCGCATACCTACGTTTGCGTGCGTCCAATCGCATTGAAAATTGCAACAATAATTGCTATATTGTAAAACCATAAACTATTCGGATTACTTTTAAATGCACAAGTCAAATGGATCGCTCAAAAAAGTGGTCTTGCACACAGAGAAAAATATTATTCTATTGCTAAGAAAAACGATTATTCAGTTCACTTTCCTTCCTTTAAGCAATAGTTGGGCTCAACAGAAAAGAATATTTTCCTGACAAAAATATACTCACATCACAAATTTAAAAAAACTCATTATAATGTACTCAAAAAGAGAATTTATTCTTTTTACAGGAATATCGTAAAATTTTATCGAAAAAATAGTTGGATTGTCTGTGTGTAGTCTTTTTTTCTATATGTAGAATTCTACCTGGATTATCAAGACTTTTTTGTGCGATACTTTGTCGTAAAAGCGTGCATTACTAATAAACCTCGCTCTAGAATCACTTTCCATTTTTGTAAGAACCGACATCGAAATGTCATTCCCACCCACGCGGCCCCGTACGAACGACTTGGGCCTTGATACCAGCATATTTGGTTAAGAATCGCCCACAAGCCGGCGATGAGCCTAATGGACGAAGGGAGCCTTGGGCTCGTTTTCGTTGCATAACGTCATTATTAAAGCGGCTACGTTGACATTATCTGTTCGGCTGTTAGTTACCGTCGCGCGTCTCTCGTTTCCAATTCCCATTTATCCGCGAACGATGTTTAGATGATTAAATTAGCGCAATGATTAATATTAACTAATTACTTATATACCAAGCGCAATTGTTAACACAGTATGACGACACAGTAAACAATTAAGTGGATATTTCGCCCGGATGAGAATAATCAATTAAACATCGTCGATTCTCGCGCAGTTGCGAAATGTTCATCGCGTGAATGCAAATCGGACGAGCGTGCGAGATAATTGCGCGAACGTTTGCATTACGGAGCGCATCTCCGTGATTTCTCACAGCATTATCATAACATTATTATTCCCTGTAACTTCCGAGAAGCGCGATGATACGCAATTGAAAGATAGACATCTCGGACATTCTGATGCAGGAAATATATCCGCGCGCTTCCGGGAGAACGACAATAGTAATTACGGTAAATGATTCTCACCTGCTGCTCCTTTTCCGAAGCCCTCGGGGATAATTCCAGGTTACTCGCGGAGTCGTTACGACACCGAAAACGCAGCTCGAGACTCTCCCCCTCTGTGACTGTCGCTGACAGACTCGTTCTCGCCGACAACTCGTGCCGCTCAAATGTCGAAGTGGCGTCGCGAGGCGCACAACTCACCGAAGGAAGTTCCGCGATCAACACGATCGATCGTCCCGGTCGATCATCGGTGATCTCAGCTGCGATGGATCGTCGGCGTCTTGGCGAAGTGTCGAAAGCGCGTCCTCGCCGGCCACAAAGTCCATCTCCTGTACGTCGACATCCCAAAAGATCGGGCGTTAATTCTTTACCGTGTTCCTTCTCCCTGTCTCTCTCTTTCCTGACAATTCCGGGAACTCAAACGAATTTGCGAGGCCGACGGAGCTCAGCGGGGTTCATGCGTGTGCTCGACGCATCATCTGCACGACACCATCCGCACGACACCCATCGCGACGACCGGTCGTTCGTTCTGTCTCGCTTGTGCGCGCGACTCTACTTGACAGACCAGCTGAAACTGACGCGTGCGCGCGCACGCGCGTTCCGGACGTCGCGACTTTTTCGAACGGCAACGCTTTTCGCGCGTTCCGCAATGGCGATTTCGCAGGGCGTCGTTCGACTCGTTAGCTCCGATCGCAAGTGATGGACGACAGCGAGTTCGTTCGCGGTTCTCGAGCTGTCGCGTCGAGCAAACAAGCGGGTGTATACGTGAGGATATATGTTGCTATACCGTGATGTTGCCGCCTAACCTTCCGTGCCGTTCGAGTCGTAGGTGTTCACGTCGCATGCCTTTCGTCCTTTCCTGCGCCTCTCGTCCGTCGAGGCGGTCGTTTGTTCGCTCTTCTTACTCCTCGTTCTTACTAGAACACTGCACTACACCTGCTGTCGGACCCGCGGTTCTCCATGGGGCCTGGTCGAGTGCGAAAGGACAGCGCGTCACGGAAGGCGAGTCCGTTACGATCTACGCGAGGCTCGAGACTGAAGTTCGCCACACTTCGTGCTTCCTCATGGGCTGCGCGCGCAAAGGGTGGGGGGAACCGCGCGACCGTATTGGCCGGATTCTACTAGGCGCGCGAAGGAGACGTCGCGAGCTGGAAGGAGAAAGCAAAGTCAGCTACGTAGGACGCGAGAGAGAAAAAGAAAACAGAGAGAGAGAGAGAGAGAGAGAGGTGATCTTAAACTTAGGTTTAAATCTCGAGCGGAAAGGAGACGGCGCGAGACTAAGGTGTTCGCGACCGGTGGATGAGATGGGCGGCGGGACGAGAGGGGAATTCTCCGAGCCGCTTTTCAAAGGAAGAAAAAGAGAGAGACGAAGGGAACGAGGAGAAAGGAGACAGCGAAAAGGCTGCGTGAGCGAAAAAAAAGCAGCAAGAAAGAGAGGAAGAAAGGAACACTCACGGCCGGTGTACGAGGGACAAAGACAGATCGTGGCGAGACGAAGATGAAGGCAAGATGATTGTATACAAGAGAGAGAGACTGAAAAGGGAGGGGAGAAGGTCGCGTTCCTCTCTTTCTCGTTCGATTAGCGGGCGTCACGCAGCTACGGTCACGCGAAAAGATGCTGCGGGAACGAAGTGGGAGGACGAAGGAACGCGATGTAGAGAAGGAAGACGGAACGAGTTTACGTCATCGTCTGAATTGGCCGCGCTATCATCGTCGCGATGGTCCCTTTAGGGTGCAGAAAATATCCTTTCTTACCTTGACGCGCGGCTGAAACACCTCGAAATGGACATTTCCTCCCGTAGCTCCAATTGCAACTCACGTTCAGGATACGTTAAGTCAGAAGGATTCTTGCTCATTGATGAACAGATACGAGTTGATCAAATTTGATCCTATCGAAGAACAAAAAGCTGGAATCACACCTTGGATCACCAATCCGCGAAATTCGATCAAATCGACTGACGACATACCTGGCACCATCTAACGGTGTCGCTGTAAATAATGTCAGAACTTTTTTGTTATCTCGTCGGTACACACCGCTGTTTATCAATTGTTTTTCAGAAAAATGGTGTCAATAATTATACATGGTTGTATGTTGTATTAGCAGTGATCACAGCAATTAAAAACACACTCGATCTCGGAACTTTGTCCTCCGAAAAATCGCGTCGAAATTGCGGGAATGGCGCACTCATCTATACTTTTCTACACTATACTCAAAAAGGTGATCCTTCGTTAAGCCCGTATCAGAATACGGATTAAGATTGAGATTGAATTGAAAATTGGCCAATCAGAGCAAAGTTCACCAAACTTGAGCTTAGTGAATTTTGCTCTGATTGGCTAAATTTTAATTCAATCTCAATCCTAATCTATAGTCTGATATGAGGCCTGTTCTTGTAGCTGCACTGCTAACTAATGCAATAAATTAAAGTGAGAAAACGTATATTTGTTTCACTTCAATATATTGCACCAGTTTAGCAGTTAGCTACAAAGAACAGGCCTACGGTCTTAAGTCCCGATCCACAATTGGTGTAGTAAGCTTTAAGCCTTAAAAAATTGACCAATCACAATCAAATTTGAGGAGAATAATCGACTGTGATTGGTCAATTTCTTAAAGCTTAAAGCTTACTACACCTATTGTGGCTCGGGACTAAAGGGACGTCTACATTGGAAGTAAATAGCAAAAAGTAGGAAGTAAGAGTAAGAAACCAACCACAGTCGAATGTGAGAAGAATAATCAACTATGATTGGTCAATTTTTATTCTTACTTCCTACTTCTTACTGCTTACTTCCAATGTAAAGGTCCCTTAAAGCGTCTTCTACAATGGCAGTAGGAGTAGTAGTAAGAAATAAGCAGTAAGCAAATTGACCAATTCCATTCTCACGTTTCAAAAATAATCGATTGTGATTAGTCTATTTACTTACTGCTTATTTCTTACTACTACTCCTACTGCCATTGTAGAAGATGCTTCAGAGGATGCTGGAGTCGGTGACGAATTCGAACAGTGGCGATAATAAGACGATCGTCACTAACATAATCACGCTATCCTTTTCGTATTTCTTGTATGTAAAGAACTTACATGAATGTGTGTTGTTTTGTTTTACCATATTCAATGGAAAACCTAACCACATATATGTAGAAATCTTTCTACAAACTTTTCTGATATTCTTAAGCTTCCAAATGCAGATACGAAGGTAGAGCAATGTTTTTCAAAATTTTTCTATTTGCATCCACACTTTCGGTATATACAAGCTGCGAAACTTTTGGATTAGGCAAATATTACACTGACAGCTTGAGATTTTACATGTAAAATTTTTTTCTTCGTTTTCGTCACAATAAATGTTCCTATTTATTTTGCACTTTCATTGCGTAAAAACATTTGTAATTCTGTGTAACCAATCGACATGAACTTTGCACAAAAATGTCAGTGTTCTGTCGGTAAAGTTTTCAGCTTCAAGATCCTCTTAAGCGGAGTTGTACGCAAGCTTTAAAATGGCGCTCTTCGTGCGTGTTAACTTAAATACGCTCTCTTTATTAAATCGTTGTTATAACAAATTCGCAACTAGTGCAGTAAAATTAAAAACGAACAAGCATACTGTGGTGACGTCCAGTATTTTATTTGAGAAGCTCAGCAAACAAAGTAAATAAAACTAACCTAATTTTGTACACGACTGAAAAAAAATTACAAATAACACTACAATCTTCTCCTGAGAAACTTATTAGTTTTGCAATAATCGTTTTGAATATAATCTGCCAATTAATACCCTTTAAGTCTACATTTGTACATTCATATCGCAGTCTATCACGTGAGAACATAACCTATAATGGTCTTTTAATGATATTTCTTTTACAGATAAAAAGACAAAAATTTTTTTTACAGATAAAAAGACAAATTTTTTTTACAGATAAAAAGACAAAAACGTCGACTAGTGTAAAAACGCCCTTCGAAATAGAAATTGCCAACAGAAGAGATCAAGCATGTCGAAGTATATTAGTACAAGTGGATTCCCTGTCTTCTCACGAAGATCTCCAAAATTATTGCAGTCAGTTTGGAATGATACAAAATGTGTATCACTATAAAACAAATAAAGAACATGTATGTGAGTTATATTTATATTTTATTTATAAGTGATAGTCGCCATTTTTCGTCTAGATAATGTTTACAACAATATCATGTATTGTCTACTTTCAGAATTATATCTTAGTTGAATTTGAGGACGAAGCATCAATAAAGGAAATTATGTCAAATGCCAATTTTATAGGTTCTAATTTAATAATTCCATGTAAATCATCAGTACTGTGGTTTCGTAAAGGCCAAATTTCTAAACAAAACAGTCAGAAGATGTTAACTGTAGAAAATGGTGTTTCGTCTCCTAGTATAGAGCATATCGCACACAAATTATATCATTCGAGATCGGTAATATCATTAATTTGATATATGGTTAAAATTTCAATTAGAGTATTATATGAAACTAACCTATTTTATATTTCATAGATATCAGAGCAAATATCACAACTTTATGAGGCACTGAAATTAACTGATTTAGAAACAAGACTGAGATTTCATACTGCGCATCATTTAGAACAGAATTTGTCTATATTATTTTATGGAAGGAGAATCCTGCCATTTGGTTCGTCTGTAAATGGCTTTGGTAGGAAAGCATGTGATCTTGACTTGGTATTTTTTTCTGACGACACTGTGGAAGTAAATATTTAATATATTTGCATTATTTACTTTTTCGCTATCGTCACATATGAGAAACTAATGAATTTTGCGGTTTACAGAATGACCCTAGAAGCAGATTAGTATTTCATTCAAAGTATATGAAGTGTAAGCAAAAGCATGAAATAAAAGAATTTATGGCAGTACTTGCAAACATCATGCGGCACTTTATCCCCGGAGTCGAAAACGTACGAAAAATTTTGGAGGCTCGAGTACCCATCATCAAATTCAACTTCGAATACAATCTTCTTGAGTGTGACTTGTGCACAGAAAACACGTAAGAAGGTTGAAGTACGCGTATGTTTTTGTATCTTGTCAAGTACAAAGCGCACGTGACATTGATGTCGGTTTTTCTCGCAGAACTGCCGTCTACATGTCAGAGCTGTTATATCTATATGGAGAGATAGATTGGCGGGTTAGGCCGCTTGTTCTTATGATACGTAAATGGGCGAGGAATCAAGACATAACGTGTGATATACCAGGCGCATGGATAACGAATTTCTCCCTCTCGTTGTTGGTGTTATTCTATTTGCAACAAAAAAATATATTGCCATCGTTAAGAATATTGAAAATACACGCGAGTAAGTGAGATGCGCGAATGTTACAGCGTTTACACAATTGACAACTTATTCCTCCTCTATCACGAGTTTCAAGTGAAGACAAATCTCGGACTCGTAGTGATCTCTTCTCTTTTTTTCTAACAGCAGACAGCGACGCTCGTTATACAGCTGACGGCATCGATTGTACCTTCCTGCGAGATATCCGCAAATTACCAAATGAATATAAGAACAAATTGAATCACGACGACTTGGAGACTCTTATGTTCGGTTTTTTCGAATATTATTCAACTTATGATTTCTACACCAAAGGAATATGTATACGCACGGGAATACCGATCAGGAAACCGACGTCTTCGCCGCTTCACATTATCAATCCGCTTCAGACAATGTTGAACGTCAGCAAGAATGTTAGCATCTTCGAACTGAATCGTCTAGTACAGAAAGCGCACGATGCGCTCTTCACGCTAGAAACTGCGAACAAACTCCAATACAACAATTGGGGTATTATGAGTTTATTGAAAATTAAACAACCGGAAGTGATAAATCTTTCACAGTTTAATATTGTAGAAAGTCGAAATGTCAAAGGTAACTCCTCGGAAAACCATTCCCACGAAACCTCGGAAAAAGTTGTTAGCATTGATAACACACAACCAGTAGAGAAGACAGAGGAAACTGTATCATATGTAAAATAAATGACAATAACGTAATTTATCTCCGTCGAAACTTCCTTACTCCCGTAAAGGACAATTCTAATTAATTTCTTATAGCAGATTTGGTATTGACTGGTCTTTATATGATAAAAAAAGCAGAAATGTAGTCTGTACATTTCTATGTCTTCTGTACATAGTAGTAGAGACATTTTCATCGATTTTGCTAGTTTTTAGCTTTTTTTGCTACGTGACTTTCGACAAGATCAGTGAGAACGCTCCTTCACTGAAGATTTTACTGAAACATTGTACATGAGAAAGAAAGTCGTGCATTTTTACCACACAGTTATACCCGTAGTATTATGACATGTGTCTTGTACATATAGGTAGGAAATAACTATACGTACACATGATGTATAAATAAGTTATAAAATATCGCAATCAGTCAAATTGATTTATTGGAAACCGTTATTGCCGCTATATCAACCCTGCAAATTTTTCGAACATCGTGATCAACGTTCTCTCGTTTACTCCGTTTCGTCCATTGACATTTACGGCGTTGACGCGCGCGCGCACGTTGTTTGTAAAATTCAACAAGTGAAATATCGCCAATCGCGTGATCTCGTGTACATGTAACATTCGTCCAATCAAAACAGATAACGAAAACCGTATTCGTGTGTGTATATATATATGTATGTGTGTGTGTATGTGTGTCGTACTCGCGTCGCAAACAAGAGAGATCAACAATGAGATACTCCCGTCGTTTGCGCGTTACACGAAGATACGGTGCATGTAAATCGAGGACATTTATTAACTTGTATATATATTTTACTATACCAGCAATATTCGACATTTCTCATACATGCACATACTTACAGTGTACATCCGCTATAATTAAACATTTCGTTCTCGTGAAGCCTCCCGTCTCTCTTTCTATCTCTTTCTTTCTCTCTCTCTCTCTCTCTCTCTCTCTCTCTCTCTCTCTCTCTCTCTCTCTCTCTCT